AGGTAAGATAGGTATCAGAGGTATGAGGAGTATCAAAGGTATGAGAGCGAGCGTCTCACTGCTGCTCTTTTTATATTATCCTGTTTGCCCCCGGCAAGGGCTCTGGACACTCCCTGATTGGTTGACCCGCGAATGGGTTTTCCCAATCAGCGTTGTCCATCTCCTTCTCACCGCGTTGTCCCTTACGCCCTGAGCGCGTCCCGTTTTGGGACCGCGTGGTGATCGGAGTGGGTGCTTTTTTTATGATGTAACGGCCTGGGTTTTCCTCAGGGCTGTTGCGCTCAGACGTCCGGCGTTCGGGTCCGTTTTGCGTGCCCTTTGGAATTTCCCGTTATTTATGACGGTCTCGTTGACTATCGAGAATCAGGTAAAAAGCTCTACTGGCTTATTGCCATCCGGACAGAAAACAGCTTACTCAAAGATAGCCTTTTCGAAGGAGAGTCATAAATATGTTAGTCGTTTGCGCGAGAAATAAATCTTTTCTTATGCGCGCCGACTGGCCGCTACAGCTTCTTTCCAATGATCCATTTGTTTGTGGCCTGTAGCCAGAGGTGGTTATTTGTTGGATTCTAAAAATCTCCGCAAGATGTTGCATTAATTTTCCCACGAAACTGGTGCCTTTGTCTGTTAGAATGGATTTTGGTGTTCCGAATATTGCGATAAAGTGTCTCGCGAATACGTCTGCTATTGTCGTTGCTTTAATATCGGGTATAGCGACGGCTAGGCAGTATTTGGTTAGGTTGACTTGCATAGTTAAAATGTATCGGTTCCCACCGATCGTTTCTGAGAGTGGTCCAACTGTATCCATGGCGAATTTGTCGAACGGTTCCAAAGGTGTGCCTGCAATAATCATAGGCTGACGGGTTTTTGCTCTAACAAGTTTCTGCTCTTGACAGCTTTTGCATTTCCAAATGAATTCTTGTGCATCTTTTCTCATCCCGGGCCATTGGTATTTTTCTTTCAGACGATTTAGGGTTTTTGTTACTCTCTTATGACCTCCGATCAAACTACTGCGAGCTTCTTCAATTAATTGTTGTCGGATTTCTTCCGTAGGGGTGATGATGTTATCCGTGCAAGCTGGTTGTGGTAAAATTGGATTGATCTCCGGATCCTCTTCATCGGTTGAACTGCTGATTTCCTGGGATGATGATTCATAATCAGGTATAGACTGGATTATCCTTGGTTCATTGATCGGTCCAGGTGTTATTGTTGATGGATTAAATGGCGTGGAAGAGGCGCCTGGAAGATTGTCGATGGACGGAGTTTCTTCCAATCTTGGTTCGGTTGTTACTACGATCGTCGATCGTCAAAGTCAGTTATATACTTGCAGCTTAAGTATCGTACAATCTTTTCTAGAACCAAACGAACAATGACTTTTTTAATCTACATTAAAATAGCTGGGGAAATAATATTGACTTGGACAGAAACTTTAAATAACTCTGTTACATTACTGTTTTAATGAAGCTAAATTTTTGTCTCCAAGTGCTAAATCATTTCCATCCAAATAAATATCTTCGAAATCCCCTACGTAGTTCTCTAGTTGTTTAATGTAGATTGCTCTAGGAAAAAATGTACAACATTTATACTGCAAACCCCAGAGAAACGCGTGAATACATATATTCATGGAAAATCTATTTTTACCTGGATTTAGATTCAAGCTATTCAAGCAAATCGTAGGCTTGAATATTCTCAAATGCTTGAAGAACCAACCAGGCTACGCTTAGATTTCGTGCCGCGTTCGAATATGCATAAGTCAGCATACGTGAAACTTTCCGTGTTCGTTTTGCCTCGTGTAAATAATAATTTTCAGAGAAACAATGTGTTGATCCTTATTTTATAATGTCCAGAGAATATTCGGTAACTTTTGGGACACCAAATAATAAATAGTTTGGACGCAACAACCGTTTGCAGTTGCGGTATGTCACACCCCGCACGGACTATCTTCGGCTGGACGTCAAAGAAGATATCCAACAAATGCAACAACGATTGCATTGCAACAGTGGTACGTTTGACGGAAAGGTTGACCACAATTCATAACTTCATACGATCTTTAAGAAAATTTTTTGAGGTTTCTGTATTAGAATATGTTCTGATACTACTGACATAAGCATAATTCTCCGATATTTGGCTATAATTATATAATTAAATAATAAAATTTAATACGACGATCTCAATTTCAACATCTACAACATTGTTTAAAGTTACATCTTGTCAAGATTAAATCAAGCCTAGATTAAAGTTAGAAAAAAGAAAAATAATTCTTTTTCTATGAAAATCGAAATAAAATGGATTTTTTGGCACCCTTGGCACCTCTATGCGCCGCTGCGATCCTCGAACGTGTTGTCGTTTCCCGGAAATGGAGTCGTGTATTGCATGTTACGGCCAGTTACGGTATAATGTCATTCACCCGATATAGAACAAAGTAACTCAAACGCAGAAAAAGTGATTCGAGCAAGAAGAGTGATTTCACGTGGATCACCTTACTTTCTTGATCACATCTAAAGGAAAGCCGGTATAAGACATAACCGTGATTATTTCTCAATTCAAGTAAGTATTCGTTCCGCGTGGTATTTCCTTTACGCGGCTGAAGACCGGTTGAATGGAGTTTGCTAATACAAACAAAAACCACATGCTATGCATTTCTTGCGTAAGAAAAGTAAATATGGAAATCCAGGACAACCAGTTCCAATTCTATTAATTATACTTGTGATCTGAGAAATTGATCTTCAAGAAATAATTAGTTCTCGTTGTAAATACAAATAAGTAAATACAAATTTACTTCATCGAACAGAATCACTTTCGTTTGAATCACTTTTTTACAAATTTATAAATAACGAGAACGTTTAAACATTCTGTAGTAATAAAGTTATCTATAGATATAAGAAAAAAAATGTCTCAAACAAAAATGCGACGAAGTAAATGTGATGACGAAGAAAAACTTGTTTCTTGAAGGTGAATTTTTGAGATTTCAAGATGATAATTCTTTTTTTTAACTTGTATGCTCTTCGCTTATGGTTATAAGCATGGAAATGCAAATTCAACGACGTATAAATATTTACGTCATACTATAATAAAGAAGAACAAGTTCCAAAAGTAAAAATAAAAATAAAAAAACAGATTACTTTATTAATCTGGTGTCATAATTCTAAATGGTGTCCCGAAAGAAATTCGAAAATTTGTTTTTCATCAAAAATAAAACTAATGTCCGCCATGATGTAGATGCTATTGTTTGTGCACTGAAAATTGATACTTTCGTAGATCATACTCCAAATGAATTCTTTTGTAGATCGTCTGCTCTTTTGCAAATCAAATTAATCGTATCGCAGTTTTCATTCATCCTTTTGTGAATCAAATTCACCTCTCTGCAAATGAAATGAAACCTTTGCAATTGAAAATTAATATGAATTTCGTTGCAAACAATAGTAATTGAATGAATTTAATTTGCACAAAGGTGAATAAGCCCTGCAAGAGGGATAGATAAACTAATAGAAAATTCAAAAGGAAAAGGGACTGTTATTCGACTATCAATTATCCATTGAACTAGTATGTCAAACAACGTGTTGACACTTTCACAAGGCCGCCCCGCTTTTTACGTGCACGATCCCGGTAAAGATCCTCTACCATCCGTGACTGTACGCTGGCCGACCGAGCACGTATCGCGTAACCTGGAGAGATGGCCTGGATGCCTTTTTTCGTCGTGTACCGTTACCGTAGAATAACTTAGGTATCTACCATCATGGGACCACCACTTATTTCACTTTGTCCCCATCGTTCACCTGTTCGATCGAACGTTACAATCGGTGCTCTATCAGCAGCAGAGTTAAATAGGAAAGGAACTGGCTGAGTTTCTCTACGCGGAACCGTGATTTCGTTCAGTCTTTCTTACGTGCTCATTCGAAACGGGCGCACAAATGTAACCGAACCCAACCAGGCGAACGGATTAAGCCAGACGAAACGTAGGAGATCTTGAAGAATCACGCCGCTGTTCTGAAATCGGCTAATACTGAAAATGAGAGCTACACTTGTTTTGGCGATAGTTATTACCGTTTGTTTCAATGTAAGTTCAAACTAAACGAATGTTTCTCTTTTTTACTTCTATTCTCGGAATGCGATTAGTGAGCAACGTAAACATTCGGACACTCTTTGAAAGGCAATGATTATTTTTAAATTGAACCGACCGACTTGAATTTGTTTTGAGATTTTAGAGGAATTATTTTAGTAGGGAATGTCCAAACAAATATTTGCATAAATTACTTGATTGCAATGACGAAACAAAATGTTTGGAACGACTTTTTCCAACTTCTTAATACGAGATTGTAACGAAAATTTAAACATTGCATTATTTACATTTAGATTTGCATTGTATTATCTTTATTTTTATCTTTATCATTGTCTAGTAATCCAACCTGTCTAACGTCACGGAATAAGTCAAATCGTTTGATCAAATTTGAAAAAAGTTATTACGTTTAAAAATGTGTTCGGATTATTAATTAACTATGTAACTATTGTAATTGTGAGCAATGTATAACTACATCATTTACTAGGTAACATTTGTTTACGATAATCATTACTTTGATAAAGAATTATGTAATCAGTATCTCTCTCTCTATTCATTATAAAAGTACTACAATGTACTGTTTTTAAATAAGGTCAAGGTCACGGTATTTATCATTTAAAATGATATTAACAAATGATTGTGATTATTAACAGGTCCACTATGCTGAGAGCAAGTCGACAAAGTCGACCCAGATGTTGTCTCTTCAAAGTAAAGAAACAAATGTGGCCAATTTCATGAGATTACTAGTTATGAGGCTGGTCTTTGGAGTAGCATCTGCGATGGGTCTCGGAGAAAATCTGTCTGACGTCCTCGGAGGGATATTTGTACCACCCGGAGCTGACGACTATGACTATGGCGGCGGTGACTATTTCACGGATTTGTTTTAACGCTGATGTTCGTTCAGATATTATTATCAAACTCGTCAACTCGTCCGTTGCCATGTCGATCAAACATAATCAACACTGAGTTTTTTATATACATCTATCGACTAGATAGGAGGATATAAAAATTAGACATAATTAAACGGTTCATCATAACTACTAAATCGTGTAACAGTTATTTCAGTATAGAACAAAGAAGAAGGCAAAAATTATTTTCTTTTTATTCACTACAACACTTTTATACTTTTGCACACGAACTTACATTTAATACACAATTAAATAAAAATTTAATTGAAATATTCTTATTAATTTGGTAGATTCTTAAAAATAGCACAATTCCAAATTTGGATCCTAAATTTACATTTGCCGACTTTCCTTTATGCTTTAAATGTTATGCAACACATTTACGTTAAATTACGTAGATGCAATTTAGATAATTATTACTGTAACCACAATTGAGCATGGCAAAATCAGCGCCGACAGTAACGATCTAGTATAAATATTTAATTTGTAGACAAAACAAATCGATGCCATTTGAAAAAAGTAAAATATTTATCGGCGTACATAATAATTGTGTTTATTAAAGGATTACTAAATTCTGTATTCCTGCGAAAAGTACCGAGGGTTATTAATGGAGTTTTTGCAAAATAATCGTGGTGGCGAATATTTAAATGCGTTAGCTGGGTACAGTGTAGATAAAAATTCATAGGTATGCATTTATAGATTTTCTATCCTTTACTCTCTCCTTAAAGGAGACTTATCGAGGGTAAATGAGATAAAATCTCAACTCAGCAGTTTAAATAAATGCTGCAGATCTGGGTTAAATATCGCTGTGACAACTATCAACATAAAAGAAAAATTTTTCATTTTTTATTGTTACTATGTAAATCTATATTGTTTTCACAGCTGATTGTTACACTGCTAAGGTTTCTTTGACGATTAGAGACATTTTCAGTAGTTAAACATTACTAAATAAATCGTATAGTACCCTTAGTATAGCGACACTCGTTTCACCAACGATGGATAGAAACTGTATTTTTTAGAAATACTGGGAAGCGTTATCGACGTGAATAATGATTTTGAATTCAATACAACTATTATTTTTATCGTAAAATGTAATTAGGCAGAGGACCCATTGATCACTCATTACACGTATTTACAAATCAGATTTATTACATTTTCGAAAAATGATGTACATTTTTTAGTCCTTCGATATCGACTGCGTCATTTATTTATTAGTTTGCATTGACGACAATGGGAACATATATGTAAAATGTGCATAATTGTAATAATTACGCGAAAACTAGTAAATTAAAATGCCCGAATAGAACTTTATCAGTAAGTTTCTTCTTAAGATTTATTTATTTGTAAATAACTATTTATATTTATTTATTATTTATTTATATTACTATATGTGAAATAATGAAACATTGTTACATTGAAAAGCACCCGTAACTATTTGTGAAAAATGAGATGTTACAAATTGCTTTTTGTATGTATCAAAGCTTCGTCGAAATAAACCATAGTGTTCACTATCTACCACTCTTGTTTTTAATTCCTTTAATTCAACTTCTATACACCGTTTAGACCAAAC